ACTATTGGAAGACTATTGACCCTACTGGCACATTTTATTCATATGTACAATGGTCCAGTTTTTGGTACCTTTATTTCTATGATGTTAACTAAAAAGGAAAAACTACTATTTTCTCGCAACAGTTTCAGACAGCTTTGAAATTGCAGGACTGAGGTGAAGGCCTATTGCACTAACATTTATGGAATTTGTACTCCCACCTCCATGGCTCCAGTACTTGAAAAAAAAAAATGTTCTACTCTGCAGCTCTGTTCTGAGAAAAAAATCATTGGAATAAAATCCCAGGGTGGGTTGTGCCTCCGAATTAGTAAACCCTATGGAGGAAATCACATCATTATATGAAGTTTAGTCCAACTTATTTTAACATTTTCTGTAGTGCTGGAAACTGGAGCCAATAATCTGTCATTCTTTACATAAACATGTACCTTATCATATCACTAACATTTGTTTAACCCTTTTATCCCAAGCTTTTAAAGGAGTAGAAGGGTGTCCCTTTAAGACAGGTCTGTTTTCAGACTGGTTGGAGAGAAATGTTCAAGGTCCTGTATATGGCACTCAATCTGTCATGTGTCAAGCAGCACTTCTGTACAGGCCTATGTGAAATATTGCAGTCTGAAGCACTACATCACCACATTCCCCTAGCTTGGCTTTCACACCCACCTTCCTCCCTGGAGGCCTGACCTGCATTGTACGTCTCTATCTGGAGCCAGGCCTAATTAGTCCAAGAGATGCAATGCAGGGTGCATGCTTGGGCTTCATTTTTACAACAGTATACCACAGGAGGAAAATAATTTATGATTAAAAAAAAAAAAAGTTATTTGACACACAGTGAAGGAAGAAATGGCAGGGCTTGAGCTTTGCCTCTCACAATCTCAACTTTTCTCCTCCTGTTTTTCTTTCTTTTTCAATGGCTGTTCCTAGCTGACGGGGTCAAGTTATGATTAAGCATACATAAAATATATTTCTGTATGGTCTGCATCTCAGACGCATAAAATTCAAGTGCGATAAAAGGCATACATTTTTCTTTTTAAAGACTAAAAAAAAAAAATCCCCTCCTAGTCTCTGTACCACTTTACATCGAATTTCAGAAGAAGAGTAGTTTCTTCTGGAGTCTGACTGCTTGATATCAGCATGTAATTAAATGTATTTTATATACAATTAGCATAGGTAATTGAATCTGTCTTAATATCAAGCTCTTGTCATTCCATGCACAGCAGCACCAGGAGAAGGAGGTGCAGCATTAGGAGCTAGTCAGGCACTGGTGCACAAACATGTGTTGACATGAAACATGCTAGCAGAAGGATAGATCAGCGTGAGCATAGCTGATGAGTTGGTAGTGATTTGCTGCTCCATTTTTGTCCAATCAGTAGGCTTCAGGACAGGTTGCACTACTGTATTCCTTTTGTAGGATTAAAGTCAGGTGTATAAATAACCAATTATACCAAGCAAGTGCTGATGATCATCAATTTCATATGTAGGCTGAAACACAGTCATTAACTGAAACAGAAACAGCTGTGTGGGTGGCTTAAAACTGGGTGAGGAACAGCCAAACTCTGCTACTAAGCAGAGGTTGTGGTAGTTATGCTGAATCATCAAGGTCTCTCCCTGGTAAAGATTTCAAAGCACATGTGCTGTTCAAGATCTTTAGAAGACCCACAAAGAAACAGGCAACATTGAAGACCATAGACGCAAGGAAACTTAATGCAAAAGATGATAGACACATCATGCTTTCTTCCCTTTGAAATCAGAAGATGTCCAGCAGTGCCATCAGTACAGTAGTATTTAAACACCACTGAGTTTTTTGCTTTTTGGCTATATAAAATGATAAAAGACCTAAAAGTTTGGGGAAAAGAAAAAAGTTTTTCTTAGTTTCTATTATAAAACTTTGCAAATAAATAATTGTCCTTTATAAATTTAGGCCCAAAATTTAATCTGCTACATTTCTTTGGTAAAAAATAACTCAAATCAGTGTATAGTATAGTCTGTGAAAGTTATAGAGTCTATAAACTATGGTGTATACATACAGTGCCTTGAAAAAGTATTCATACCCCTTGAAATTTTCCACATTTTGTCATGTTACAACCAAAAACCTAAATGTATTTTATTGGGATTTTAAGTGAAAAACCAACACAAAGCGGTACATAATTGTGAAGTGGAAGGAAAACTATAAATGGTTTTCAAAAAATTTTTCCAATTAAATATCTGAAAGGAGTGGCGTGTATTTGTATTCAGCCTCCCTGAGTCAATACTTTGTAGAACTACCTTTCACTGCAATTATTTTCCTGACTAGGTAGCACATTTATGGAAGCCCTGAAGCACCAACACATTTGAAAAACCAACAAAAAGACCATATTTTGGAAAGCAAAATGACTTCTTCTGAGAGAGTCCCTCAGAAGAAGTCATTGGACGAAACGCGTTAGGGTGTGGTTAGCAGGTGACGTCACCACGCACGCCGATGCATGTGTCCGGATCACGTGATCGCACTATCGCCATCTTGAGTGCAGGCAGGCTGGTGAGACGCTGGATACAGAGCTTATAGCTCTGATGTAACAAACGCTGTATATGTTCTTGCTCATTGTAAGTGCGGTTTTAAGGGGGGTTGTTTATATCAATAAATTTGTTGGATGATATTGCACTATGGCGAGTATTCTTTCTGTTCACATATGCTAATTGACCTTTATATTAGCAGCACAGTGGCTAAATGGTTAGCAGTACTAGGGTCGTTGGTTCAAATCCCATCCACGGCACCGCCTGCCTGGAGTTTGCATGTTCTCCCTGTGCCTGCGTGGGTTTCCTCCGGTACTCCGGTTTCCTCCCACACTCCAAAGACATGCTGGTAGGTTAATTGGATCCTGTCTAAATTGTCCCTAGTATGTGTATGTATGAATGTGAGTTAGGGACCTTAGATTTGTAGACTCCTAGAGGGTTAGGGATTGATGTGAATGTACAATATATATGTAAAGCGCTGCGTGAATTGACGGCGCTATATAAGTACCTGAAATAAATAAATATTATATATTTATTTTTGCATGACCCCCCAAAAAGTCCCAAGGGCAAAGTGTCCTTGACTTCTTTGTAAGTTTTAATAACATTCATAACTATTGTAGAGATACATTCAACTTTGATAAAGCACAATGATGAGTTTTTTAAATGTGCACTGCACACCGTTGGCCTTGGAAGTCTGAAACTGCTGGAGCACAATGGAAATACAAGGGAATCTGTTATAAAATGTGACCAGCTTTTCTCTAATCATAGAGCTTAGTTTAATGTGTTAAGCAGCAAAAATAGCGCATGTTACCACAGACTGTATACAACAGCCCGCATTTTATAAATAGGCTAGGCATGGTATACAGTAGCTCTCCATTGTAAATGAGCCATAGATCAATTGCTAGATATTAAGTATTTCAACCATGAGTTAGTGCTAACTGACAATCTAACATGGACCTGTGGGTGAATAAAACTCTCTGTCCCCTTAAAGTCATAAAAGATAGAAGAAAAAAACTGAAATACTTACTTGGGCAGCAGAAATCACTTAAATGGGATTATACTTTGCAATAAACCCCCAGAGCGTAAACACTTTATATCCATATAGTCATTTACATTAGAATATTTTATAAATCCCAAAAACTGATCAGTTAGTGCTCAACAGTCAAGAGTTAACCTGCTCAAACCAAAATTCCTTGCATCAAATGCCAGTCGAGCTTTCTTCTCCTTCTTCAGATGAATGGCAGTTTTTAACACTTATTGTCAGGGCTCCCGGGTATGACCAGAGGTGTGTGACTGACTCAGGGAAAACGCAGACTTCAGATATGTTATAAATAATATAATTTATTAACACTAACAATATAAACATAAACGCAGTGCAATACTAAAACATAACACAGTGCAAACAAACCAAACCAACCACCCACAGATAACAGTACATACAATGCAAGCGTCGTCAGGCAGGCCGGGATTATCAACAGGAGGTCAGAACGTATGGGGTTAAGCAGGAGAATGGTCAGACAAAGCCAGGGATCAGGAGCAGGAGAATGGTCAGACAAAGCCAGGGATCAGGAGCAGGAGAATGGTCAGACAAAGCCAGGGATCAGGAGCAGGAGAATGCAACGAATCAGACAGGAACAGGGAGCAGGAACAGGATACAGGGCCCAGGAGAAACACACACCAAGGCAGAGTCTGCAGGTCTGGCCATCCCTTAAATACATCAGTATAAGCAGTTTCAGGTGTTTGGCTGGCTGCAAGGTTGAGTCTCTGATTGCTGGGAGCACCCGCTGGCCAGCCCTGGTACTGCAGCCCATAAGGCAGGTGAGTCCCACCATTGCTGGCCAGTCCATTCCTGACAGTACCCCCCCCCCCCCTCAAGGAGCGGCCTCAGGACGCTCCAAACAGTCCTAGCTGGGCAAAATGTTCCACTGCCCGGGTCTGGTAACTGGCGGGATATGAAAGACTGGCACACCGGGCAGGACTCCGGGCAGCGGCACACCGGGCAGGACTCCGGGCAGCGGCACACCGGGCAGAGGCCCATTGGGCAGAACTCCGGGCAGAGGCACATCGGGCAGCGGCACAGCGGGCAGCGGCACACGGGCGGGCAGCGGCACATCGGGCTGGACTCCGGGCAGCGGCACATCGGGCTGGACTCCGGGCAGCGGCACATCGGGCTGGACTCCGGGCAGAGGCACATCGGGCTGGACTCCGGGCAGAGGCACATCGGGCTGGACTCCGGGCAGAGGCACATCGGGCTGGACTCCGGGCAGAGGCACATCGGGCTGGACTCCGGGCAGAGGCACATCGGATCGATCACCAGGCGAAGCAGCAGGCAGCGGGCCCTTAGTCGGAGCAGCAGGCACCGGGCCCCCAGGCGGAGCAGCAGGCACCGGGCCCCCAGGCGGAGCAGCAGGCACCGGGCCCCCAGGCGGGGCGACAGGCATCGGGCCCCCAGGCGGGGCGACAGGCATTGGGCCCCCAGACGAGGCGACAGGCATCGGGCCCCCAGGCGGGGCGACAGGCATCGGGCCCCCAGGCGGAGCGCGGTGGGCGCCAGACCCCCAGGCAGAGCGACAGGTCTCGGGCCCCCAGGCGGAGCGGCGGGCGCCGGACCCCCCAGGCGGAGCGACAGGTCCCGGGCCCCCAGGCGGAGCGGCGGGCGCCGGGCCCCCAGGCGGAGCGACAGGTCTCGGGCCCCCAAGCGGAGCGACAGGTCTCTGGCCCCCAGGCGGAGTGGCGGGCGCCGGACCCCCAGGCGGAGCGACAGGTCGACAGGTCCCCCGGGCCCCAGGCAGAGCGGCGGGCGCCGGACCCCCAGGCGGAGCGACAGGTCTTGGGCCCCCAGGTGGAGTGGCGGGTGCCGGACCCCCAGGTGAAGCGACAGGTCTCGGGCCCCCAGGCGGAGCGCGGCGGGCGCCGGACCCCCAGGCGGAGCGACAGGTCTCGGGCCCCCAGGCGGAGCGGCGGGCGCCGGACCCCCAGGCGAAGCGACAGGTCTCGGGCCCCCAGGCGGAGCGGCGGGCGCTGGACCCCCAGGCGGAGCGACAGGCACCGGGTCACCAGGCACGACAGTGGGCTCCGAGTCAACTGGCATGACCGCTGGCACTGGGTCAGACAATGGATCGTCTGGCTGGACAGCGGGCATCGGGTCACCAGGCATCAGGTCATTTGGCTCGACAGCGGGCACCGCGTCATCTGGCAAGGCAGTGGGCTCCGAGTCAACTGGCATGACCGCGGGCACTGGGTCAGACATTGGATCGTCTGGCTGGACAGCGGGCATCGGGTCACCAGGCATCAGGTCATTTGGCTCGACAGCGGGCACCGCGTCATCTGGCAAGGCAGTAGGCTCCGAGTCAACTGGTATGACCGCGGGCACTGGGTCAGACATTGGATCATCTGGCTGGACAGCGGGCATCGGGTCACCAGGCATCAGGTCATTTGGCTCAACAGCGGGCACCGCGTCACCTGGCAAGACAGTGGGCACCAAGTCACCAGGCACGACAGTGGGCTCTGAGTCAATTGATACAACAGCGGGCACCGGGTCATCAGGTACCGGATTGTCTGGCTCGACAGCGGGCATCGGGTCACCAGGTATGACAGCGGGCACTGGGTCACCAGGCATCAGGTCATTTGGCTTGCCAGCGGGCACCGCGTCATCTGGCAAGGCAGTGGGCACCGGGTCATCAGGCATTGGATCGTCTGGCTCGACAGCGGGCATCGGGTCACCAGGTATGACAGCGGGCACTGGGTCACCAGGCTTCAGGTAATTTGGCTCGCCAGCGGGCACCGCGTCATCTGGCAAGGCAGTGGGCACCGAGTCAGTACCAGGTACGACAGCGGGCACCGGATCAGGTACCGGATCATCTGGATCAACAGCGGGCATCGAGTCAACTGGCCTAATAGGATCATAAGGCTGGATCAGTTCATCATGCTGGGTAGAGGCATCAGGCTGAGTGGAGGCATCAGGCTGAGTGGAGGCATCAGGCTGAGAGAGGCATCAGGCTGAAGAGAGGCATCAGGCTGGGTACAGGCATCAGGCTGGGTACAGGCATCAGGCTGGGTACAGACCTCAGGCTGAAGTGCGGGTGCCGAGGCACCAGGCTGAACCACGGAAGGCAGGTTCTCAGACGGCAGGCTGACCGGTTTGGATACTGGCAGGATGGTATTGGTTGGAAAGAATTTTCACTTTTTTCTGGTTTTAACTACTGGAGCACTGCAAGTAAACGCAGGTCTGCAAACGAATGGAGCAGCTGGAGACAGAGAAGAGCTAGAGGATGGAACAGAGGAGGGAGCAGTTGCTACAGAGGGCTTTTTTACAGGGTTAAAGGCAGGATAGGTGCAGCGAGTGGGAACAGGGTACTGACATGCGGTAGATAGCAGGGCAGGAGGAGCTGTTGGGAATGCAGGAATAGAGCTTTGAGGAAATAGATTAGAAGCAGGACTGGGTTTTTGTAGGCTGACTGAGGCTGGGTGCAACAAATCTGTCCATGTCTGCAGTATGGGTTGAACAAAGCTGAGCTTACACAAAGCCTGTCTGACCAAAGACTGCACTGCGTTTATACAATCTCTTAGTGTCTGTGGTGAACATGCAGCATAATGCTCCAAGAAGCAATCCACATCATCCTCTAATAACCATACCAGGGACTCTACCTGGTCAGCACTAAATGGTGGCAAAAATTCATCCCTGCATTCGGGGGTACCAGATGAAACTAACTCCGCACAAATCTGAATCAATGGCTGCACCTCAGAGAATTCTGTGCCCTGATCTACTAGGACATGAGCGAGCCGTATACATTCTAGCAGTTCATCCCGGGGATACTCCTTCAGAGTTTGATAAGCATACTCTCTGTCATCAAACACTAGCAGATATAAATACACAACCTCATCAAGATCCATCCTTCCCATCAACAAACCAAGATGGCTTCCCTGTGCAGCCACTTCTGGTCAGGATTGGCCTTGGTGTAATGTCAGGGCTCCTGGGTATGACCAGAGGTGTGTGACTGACGCAGGGAAAACGCAGACTTCAGATATGTTATAAATAATATAATTTATTAACACTAACAATACAAACATAAACGCAGTGCAATACTAAAACATAACACAGTGCAAACAAACCAAACCAACCACCCACAGATAACAGTACATACAATGCAAGCGTCGTCAGGCAGGCCGGGATTATCAACAGGAGGTCAGAACGTATGGGGTTAAGCAGGAGAATGGTCAGACAAAGCCAGGGATCAGGAGCAGGAGAATGGTCAGACAAAGCCAGGGATCAGGAGCAGGAGAATGGTCAGACAAAGCCAGGGATCAGGAGCAGGAGAATGCAACGAATCAGACAGGAACAGGAACAGGGAGCAGGAACAGGATACAGGGCCCAGGAGAAACACACACCAAGGCAGAGTCTGCAGGTCTGGCCATCCCTTAAATACATCAGTATAAGCAGTTTCAGGTGTTTGGCTGGCTGCAAGGTTGAATCTCTGATTGCTGGGAGCACCCGCTGGCCAGCCCTGGTACTGCAGCCCATAAGGCAGGTGAGTCCCACCATTGCTGGCCAGTCCATTCCTGACACTTATGGTGTATACACATGGTGTATCGATCTTCTCTAAAGTTAGAGCCCCACCTTAAGGTTGAGTATTGCCCCACGGAAGCCTCAGGGCATTGATTAAACAACACTAAAGGAAAGGTACCTCATGTGTAGGAGAGTGACCCTGTCTCAGGCCCAGAAGAACCCACTGCAGGGGTAGTCCTCTCATGTGACCCAGATTTGGCACCCAACAAGTTAATTGGGAAACATGGAAGAAGGTCCACCACCACCCACTTATACCCCCCAGCTAGCCTCACAAAACTATCTCCTTTGTGGCCACTACTACTGCCTAGCTCCAGCTGTTATAACTAATTCCTGGTCAGTTTACCTCTAGTGGGAACAGATTTCATTTTATGACAACAAGCATGCAAAATTGTTGTTCAGGAAGCCATATCACCCATGGCTGGCTTTGGCCTAGATAATACTAAAAGCTAGATTCAACCTATCATCTCAATGGAGATGCATTGTATATATTATATATACAGAGCAACAGAGGAAATGAGAGAGAGAAAACACAATGACTTGCATAACATAAGGGCTAATATATGAAAAGCAACCAATCAGCTTCTAGATTTGAAAATGAAACAAAGATTCTAACTGGTTTCTAAAGGAAGCATGAATTGTTGCAATTAGCACAATTTGTGTACACGAGCCTCATAGAGGAGAACTGAATAGTGCCCAGTAAAGTACTGTGTATTGAGGCATACAAAGCAAGCTTTCCAAGGGTAAATTGCTAAGGAAACAGAGGAAATGGGACAAATGACTGCGCTGTTTCTCCATCAACAATGGTAATGCTCTACCTGGTTCCAATAACAATTACTGAATGTCTCTCCTATTGTTGAGCTCTGGACTTCAAACTTGTTTGCAGCAGCATTTTGTTTTACTAATGATGCTATTTTTCTCAGCATGTTTGCCTATTACCTAATACACTCTACATCAGGATATTTCACAGGATTCACTCTTATATAAGATGAGGTCATAAATTCCCAAGCCTTTAAAGTGTTTGGAGAAGTCTTTTTTTGTTATGCTTGGCTCTTCTCCTAGAAATACAATTGACATAATGAAAATACCCTTATATGAAATTATTATCCCCCTCGAGACAAAACTCATCATTTCCTACATGCAGACTTCAAAGATTTTGTTTTCTTGGTAAATGCAAAAAAATGGATCCTAACTATAAGTAATAATAGAATGTATAACACTCGTAATATACATTGCCAATCTAATATATTGGCAAAAAATTTATATGAATATTCAATAGGACATTGATGTTCATACGTGCTCTAAATGATTCAGAAATCAGCAACTGCTAGTACAGGATTTCATTCTTGAATATGTTTGTAACCAGGGGTGGACTGACAACTCATGGGGCCCCCGGGCAATAGGGGATCATGGGGCCCCTGTGTCCTTGCCCAAACTCAAAAAAGCCTATGAAAAAAGGTACCAGGGGCATCTCATGGGGCCCCCTACTGACCCTGGGCCCTCGGGCAGTGCCCGAGTTTCCAAATGGTCAGTCCGCCCCTGTTTGTAACATAATAATTACTGAACTATAGGTTATAAATAATATAGCTAAGTGGTCATTAAACATTTTATGTTTTTAATTGATGTGTAAGCACCAGAATGTCTTATCAGCCTCCTGTAATCCCACATACTGTAGGACACAGGCTGGGGGAGGGAAGACAAGATATATGCACTAATAATGTTCTGCTTCATGTACACATACTGGCAAAAAATATGTTGACAAAAGGAGAGTAGGAAGTTTACCTTCTCAGTGTGCTGCTGCTCTTGCTCTGTCACCAGGCCCGGACTGGGACAAAAAATAGGTGCTGGCACTTTGGACTGAGCAGCCCAAATACTTAATTTTTAACAATGTTATATTTTATTGTTTTTTATTTATTTTTTTTTTAGACAAGAAAGAAAGAGGGAAAGAAAGAAGGAAGGAAGGACAGAGAGAAAGAGGGAAAGAAGAGAGAAGAAGAAAGAAAAGAAAAAGAAAGAAAGAAAGAAGAAAGAAAGAAAGAAAGAAAGAAAGAAAAGAAAGAAAGAAAGAAAGAAAGAAAGAAAGAAAGAAAGAAAGAAAGAAAGAAAGAAAGAAAGAAAGAAAGAAGAAAGAAAGAAAGAAAGAAAGAAAGAAAGAAAGAAAGAAAGAAAGAAGAAAGAGAAGAAAGAAAGAAAGAAAGAAAGAGAGAGAGATGTAAAGAAAGAAGGAAAGAGGGAAAGAAAGAAGGAAGGAGTGGAAAAGGAGAAGAAAGAAAGGAGAGAAGCAGAAGACAGAGAGAGAAAGAAAGAAAGAAAGAAGAAAGAAAGAGAAGAAAGAAAGAAAAAGAAGAAAGAAAGAAAGAAAGAAGAAAAGAAAGAAAGAAAGAAACAGAGAGAGAAAGAGAAAGAAAAAGAGATGTAAAGAAAGAAGGACGGAGAGAAAGAAGGAAAGAGGAAAAAAGAAGGAAGGAGTGGAAAAGAAAAAGAAGAGAAAGGAGAGAAGCAGAAGACAGACAGAGAGAGAGAGAGAAAGAAAGAAAGAAAGAAAGAAAGAAAGAAAAAGAAAGAAAGAAAGAAAGAAAGAAAGAAAGAAAGAAAAAGAAAGAAGAAAGGAA